ACTTTATGGTTGAAGAAAATGTCATGGTTGTATGTGGGCTGGGATACTGCCAGGGCGCCCAGACCTAGACAGGAGAACGATTAGGGTCCTCATCCAAACCCTTTGGCTCAAAAGTCTGCCCGCAAAGCAACGGGGAGGTGGCGATGATTTAGTTTTACAGAAATAGACCCCATCCCATTTCAAACCCCCAACCTGGAGGACCAGGAGACTGAGTTTGTCTGACCTGTCATCATTGACCAACATGGTAGGATTGGCTATCAAGGTGCCCGGAGGCATCACCCAGTATAGCTCAATGGGTCAATGAGGTACGCAAACCGTCGCACCACGATTAGCATCCGACTACGTGTAGTTCGGCTTCGGGGTTCATGTAGAATCAACAAGCACCGCGAAGAGAGACGGAACTTGTTTGTGATCTCTGTGTACCCACCAACTGACTGCAGTGGCGGCTCGGTCAAGGACTAATTTAACGGGGATCTATATCAGTTCTTGACTAATGATAGAAAGTCAGATGTCGTTGTCCTTGCTGGGGATTCTAATGCGCGGGTTGGCCGCCTGTTATCATACGAACACTACCTTGGTGATCACCATGCGCTCGATGAGAACCGCTCTAATAAAGGAGAGAGGCTTCTCACATTGTGCGAAGATAACTATCTGTTTCTCTCGAACACGAACTTCAGGTGTACGAAGAGGCGTTCCGCATCGTGGCGTGCCCCCTCGCCAACACGTTAGTCTCAAATTGATCACATTGCAACTAACTTCAAATGGCGCGGCAGCGTACTGAACTGCAGGTTCTTTTGGTCCACCTTCGTTGACTCAGATCATGCACTGATCTGTGCGAAATTCTGCAAGTGTTTTGGGGGGTCCCGAAACACGAAGCAACGAAAGATCGATGTAAACAGATTAACTGATTACTCTGTCCAGGCGAGCTATCAGTCTTCACTGGCATATGCACTCTGTTGCAATCCACCGCAAGTCATACAGCAACACTGGACTTGTATACGGAAAGCGATGATCATTTCCGGACAGTCAAGCTGCGGCCTAACTCGACGCTCCCTAAAGGCTTGGATTTTTGCTCCTTCTCTGGAGCTGTTCGAACGCCGCAAAGATATCCCATCATCATCATCAACAGAAAAACATCAGCCATTTGAACTGATGCTTCGCTGCCATACAACCACGCTGACCTATGAAATAAAGAATAAGAAGAGGGAGAGAAAGGGGACTTACCTGAAAACCTTAATGCCCTAAGCTAACATTCAAGGTCAAATCGCCTACACCATGTGTAGACAACATTCCGTCACAAACAGCTGGCTATCGTGCAAAGATAAGGCGGCATCGGCGAGACAGCTTCCTTGCGGCTTTCACTGCCCGCGTCATAATCAGTCATTACCCCGCAGATAACACAGCACCAAACACACTTAAAACAGGCAATCCAACCAGGAGACGGCAGCAGACGCGTCACTGGTGTCTACTGCGAATCATGTCCTGTAAAGTCTCGAGCCAAGCACAAGGTGAGTCACGTGGACTCCAACCCGGAAGGCGATACAGATCAACGGCACCCAGTTTGGTTGTCAATGACTTCATTTCCCGCTGTCAAGTCAACTTCTGTCCACCTCGAGCTTTGCGCCATCCTACACCTGGCAGACTGAACAAGGCCCTCCTAGGTAAGCGGTGACCGGGCACGCGTAGCAGGTGCCCGATCCAACGCAACTTATTCAGTGCTATCTGTGTTTCTAGGGTGCTAGCATGATTAGCACCACCTAGTACTCGCCTACGCATATCATCGTTGCGGACACGCTGGTGCCATCCGACACCAGCAATGCTTCGCAAACAACGATGATCAAAGACTTGAAGGCGCCTCAGATCTTCAGACCGAAGGGGCCAAGTTTCACTACCATAGAGCAGAACGGCCCTCAATGTGGCCTTGTATACCCGGCCTTTCAGACAACGAGAGATTCCGTTCTGTCGCCAAAGATGCTGCACGTCCAACAAGGCAACTCCGGCATTTGCAATGCGTGACATGACATCAGCTTCTATGCGCCCATGGTTGCTGATGCAGCTGCCAAGATAAGTGAATTGATCAACCACCTCGAGTTCCTCGTTAGCAAGCGCAAAGGGGTCATCAAGTGGCTGGTGGTCCTGCAGCAACAATTTGCACTTTGAAGATGCGAAGTGCATACCAAATAATGGAACCACTCTGGATAGGCTATTAAGGGTTGACTGCGCCGCCTCAACATTGTCGAAAAGCAAGAGGATATCGTCCGCATAATCTAGACCAACTAACCTTTCACCAGGCAGCACTTCAACGCCTACATCGTGAGATTCCGCAAGGGAACGCTCCATGGTAGAATCCACGACGAAATTGAACAAAAAAGGGGGAAATCGGACAAACCTGACGAACGCCACGTGTAGTCGGAAAGCTATCCGATAGGGCACCATAGACCATGACGCGGCCTGTAGTGTTCGAGTATAAAGCACGAAGGATGTTCACATATTTCGTGGGAACACCTTGTCGCGCAAGTAATTCAAACAGAATCGATCGATCGACTGAATCGAATGAACCCTTGAAATCGATGAACACAGCTATTGTCGGTCTGCGGTATGCGTGGCGATGCTCTAGCACTTGCCGCAAAGTAAATATACGGTCGATAGAGCCACGTCCTGGACGGAAACCCAGCCTGCTCTTCCTTAATCCGAGATTCCCGTTCTGCAGTGAGGCGACGAACGAGGATCGAGGCCAGTAGTTTTGTCACAACTGGCGTTAGGCTAATACCCCTGTGGTTCGCACAGTCTGTGCGACTGCCCTTCTTGTATATTGCCACTATAATCGGTTCGTTCTAATTAGCTGGCCACTCTCTTCGTTCCAGATACGTTCGAATAGGGAGGTAAGTTCCCTGCAGAGGACCTCACCTCCATCCTTAAATAGTGCAGGTGGGAGGGAATCCAGGCTAGCCGCACGAAAAATGATTAAGGGCTGTGATCGCGTTTCGGACCTCGAACTCCGACGGAGGTTCTAAACTAACCGTCCATGGCACGTCCTGCATCACCTGAGTAGGAAGAGGTCCGGGAGCAGGGGGCCAGCTGAACTGATCTTGAAAGTGTTCAGTCCAACGAGACATACGGCGCTCCTTACCGTATATCAGCGCACACGCACCGTCTCTGATTGTCTCACTGACGCCTGGTTTTCTGGGACCAGTGGTGCGGATTAGCTGGAAGAGCTTGCGGTAATTGCTTACTGCTCCTGCCTCCTCCATTTATTGAGTCAGACTGGTCCACTACGCTTCATTGTCAGCACGTAGGCTCCGCTTTAGTTCACGCCTAATAGCCCGTCTGGTCACATTGTGTTCAGAATTAGCCGGGAGGTGTCTTCTAGCTTCCAAAAGGTTCACGGACCTCTCGGATATCCAGTGACTGGTGCGGTAACGACTGATAGTGCCACAAGCAGATGCTCCTGCGTCGTGTAGGGCGGCCGAGATTCTATTCCACTGAATCCCAGTGTCATTAGGACAAGACAGCGAGAGTTCGCTATGCAGTGCTTCTTGATAAGCTTGCCTGACAGAGCGCTGGGACAATTTCTCCGTTGCCAATCGAGGGAGGACGGTTCGTGCGCCTTCCTGTAAAGTGCATGGAGAAACGACAGCGCACCAAGGCATGATCAGAGTCGACACAGGTACTCCAGTACGAGCGGCAATCCAGAATGGAACCGCGCCATCTGTAACTTATGGCTATGTGGTCAATTTGGGTCCATCACTGGCCAGCTACAGGTGGACGCCAAGTGGCACTTCGGCGCCCACTGTGTCTAAAAGCAGTGCTACTAAGAAATTACTGGTGCTCCGCACACAGTTGCAGCAGACGCTCACCGT